AGCACCCGGAGAGAAGGTTTGAACCCTCAACCTTCTTGCTGTGGCGACGGTGCTAACCACTGCACCACCGCAAAAGTGGTCTAAAGACCAAGACCAGTATCGAGTACTACAACACTACCTAGCATTCCGCAGTGCATTTCTTGAATTTTCATCTGGGGTGGATGCAAACAGCCGCAACCATAATATCAAAGTTTCATCTTCACAATAAAAAGTCTGACACCTGGGACACACAGTCCTTCTTGACTGCATTTGAGCACCAAGCATCATCGATGGAAGTCCACCTGCTCTCATCTTGCCGGAGTCTTGCGCTGACAGCTCGGAACGTGGACCACCTGCTGAGTGCTTGACCCGGGATGTTGATGGGGCAGGTCTCTGTAACGCTGTGGGCACAACAGTCTCTGAATTCTGTTGTTTGGTCAGTATGAGTCTCATTTTGTCCAGACCGGCTCTTCAATTAAGTCCAAACTGGGCCAGCATGGCTCCTCTCCTGGCTCTCTTTCCTCTGCTCTGAGCGATGTGTTTTGGGCCGGTTGGCTCGTGGTCTGCTGCCTTTTAATCCAAAAACCCCGTCTTCGTCTTCCAAAGACTGTATTTATGTCCGAGATAACACACGGAAAACGGATAAAAAAGAAAAAAACACATCTAGCTAAATATGACATGTCTTTGTAAATGTGTTTGCTGTTGGAAACCAGTGCTTCATAAATTTCCTTTCTTGCAGGCGCTCCCCAGAAACGTTCGTACGGACATCAAACAAAGTCGTAAACATGAGAGTCTTTCCCGTCTCCACCATCTATCCCACATGACACGACTGCAGCATGAGCCCATGAACACCGGCTCTGTCCAGATGTGTGCGGTGACTGAGAGGTCTGGAACCTGAAGACTACACGCCCAGAAACCAACACACCAACCAGTTCTAAGACTCTGTGTCCCAGAGCCAGACGGCACACTGATTCTAGCTTTTCTTAGTGGCAAAGTGGCTGAATAAAGTTTAGTCGACGGCCAGTTTTTGATGTTGATGGACTTTATTCTCCCACCATGCACACAGCAGAAAATATTTAAATATATTATGGGAGGTGGTGAAACAGCTGTAAAAAACAAACAAGTATAAAATCTTTGGAAAAACAAAAGTCTCTCTCGCAGTAAACAACTAATAATGCAAACCTGCTGATACGTGATTCTGAACACTGATATATTTGAAGTAGCTTTCGCTTTCTTTAACTTCACAACAACACTTTGTGGTTTTTGTCAGGAAGGAAACACAGAAGTAAACAAGTAGTGAGCAGGTTATTGGTAGTAGTGTTTTCTGTGGCTGATAACAAATTTTCAGCTCAGTTACATGAGATCACCTCTGTTTTCTGCCAGAAAGCGTGAACAGGTTTATTATCCCTGTATGATTTGTGCTTTCAGTCCGTCAGATACGATTCCTCAGCAAAACCTTGGTATCAAAACAGTGTAGATGAAGCTGCTCGGTGGGAATATTACAGGAATCTGTTAAGAAACAATCACTTGCTTAATGAGGCAACGACTTTTTAGCCTGACCTGAGCGTGCGTGCAGCAGTCAGCCTCCTGATTGGCGAGCAGCTCATCTCTTTACAGCGTTTGTTCCACTCATTCCTCAGGATAATGTTGTGACAGTGGTGAATTAAGAGTACAACACTTTTTATGCTGCACCATGAGATTATTTGAGTCCACTAACACAAGCGATACTACACGAAGTGGACACCCTAGAGACATCGTCACCTCTTGGTGGACACCAGGGAGTCCATTAATTGTCTCTCTGTGGACATCTGAAAGTATTTTCATTTTTACGAGGACTGTCTCTACATGAATCAGAATCAACTTTATTGGCAAGTAGGTTTTCAAATCCAAGGAATTTGCTTTGGTGATCTGGTGCATAACAGCAAACATAGTAAGTAGAAAGTAGAAAGAAAGATAAAGTCAAGAAGCATAGATATAAAATATAATTCTGTGTACACTGTGACTGTAGTAAGAAGCATTGAGTCAGGTGTGGACATTAATGGACACCTGCGAGTCCGTTATTATTTTACTCTGGACTCCACTGGATTCCTGTATGTAGTCTCCATCTGGACACCAGGGAGTCCATCCTGTCTCTATATTAACAGCTGGAGGTCCACAATCATCTTTACGTGGACACCTAATAATCCTAATAGTTCGCACCGTGCTTATGACCTTTTAGAGGACACCTTGGGCTCCAGTGGACACCTGAGAGTCTGTCTTGTCCCTGTGTCGGCCCGTGGGAGTCCACTCAGTCATAAACTGTTGACAAGAACTATGTGTGGGACGTCCACATGCTCACGGTCAAGTCAAATTTGTTTCTATAGCACGTTAAAAATGTTCCCACCAAAGAGCTTTACAAAAAAAAAAGAGGTCGACATGCAGCAGCAGGTGCAGAGAGCATTTAGGTACATTTAAAGGCCGAAGAAAGGCTGTGGGTGTTGAGCTGTACGTTGAGTGAGGGGGCAGTTTGTTCCACAGACTGGGGGCCCATAACAGAGAAGGTCAATCGGCCCCGAGCTACCGCAGAGCTTGACGGACGACCCAAGATAACAGATCAGAGGAAGGAAGGCGTTAAAAGGATGTGTGAGGGCGAGCAAGTACCACGAAGAGCTCTGTAGACAAACAGAGAGGTTTTAAAATGAACTCCAAAACTGACAGAGCCAGAATCAGTTAGAGACCTGAAGACTGGCTGGGTCCCCTGTGCACGCAGTTACAGAAGTTTTGAAATGTGTGTAAAGAGCACATAGTGAACTACATAGATAAGAGTGAATTATTCATGTTTGAACACATGTTGTGTTCTTTATGTAATCATCTATGATGATTAAACAGCCCTGGTCTTATTATAGTGCCATAAATCTCATAATAATATTCTTTATTTTACTCTTTTATTAAATCGGTTCTTACCTCCACTGTAATCTGCTGGCACAGGTGACAGGTCTTTAAAGAAATCCTGACTGATCTGAGACTTCCCTCGAGATTTATCCCTGCTGTCATCAGCCGTGTAAATATAGCTTGTGTTGTATTTGTTTATGTGTTTGTTTGTTGTTGTTGTTTGATATCTGCCTGTTGCTGCCAGCTGTGAAACAAATTCTCGTGGATAATAAAGTTACCTTGAATCTCTCCCAGATCTTTCTGACTCTTTGGTCGCTCTTTCTGGAGCCAAACGAGGTGACGGCAACAAACAGGAAATCCTTCATTCCCCACTGAGCGTCCTGGACTGTCAGCATGACTCGGTGGTCTGCACTGTCAGCATGACTCAGCAGAAACTCACTCTCTCTCTATTTATTTTATTGGCAAAAATTGAGACAACGGTCAAACGGTGCATTCAGGGCAGCTTCGGGGCCCCAGAGAGAAAACACATGTTGTGCAGTGACTGTGTGTTTGGTCTGATTATTTTTATGATCCTTATCACAAAGAAGATATCAAGCGATGTGACGATATATTGATTCAATAAATACAGGTGCAACACTGACACAACACTCTTTATGGAGGAAAGAGACAAACGCACTGTTGTCTAAAATAGTTCATTTAAACAGTCTGTAACAGAAAACAGAGAGCTTTTAAAATGAACTGTAAAACTGACGGGGAGGACGGGGGAATCAGCTGAAGACCCTCACTCTGCAGCTTCCTACAGAGGGGAGAGCGACTGGCTCCCACGTGCACGGGGTTACAGAAGTTTTGGGAAGTCTGTCAGCCAATCGGAAGAGAGTAACTTCCCTGGCAGTTGTGTAATAAGCACATGAAAAGGTGAACGACGTAGATAAGAGTGAATCTTTCATGTTGCAACACGACAACAAATCAGATAAAACTCCGCTTCTTCTTTATGTTAGGAACTCTTAAACCGCATCTATGATGATTAAATTGATTCCGTAAGATGCCTGATTTTGTTACAGCACCGTAAGTTTTTACCTTCTCTGTAATCTGCTGGCACAGGTCACTTTCTGTTCAACTGAAAAATCGCCTGCAAGGTGCCGTGAAGGTGTGCAGGGAAAACCGATGCTTGAACGACCTCCGTGTTCTGTACAAGGTCAGGTCCTAAAATAAAGCGGGGAACAATCCCGGCCCTCGTGATCGCGCTGCTGCCATCAGGGTGCAGATATATTCTGTCACGATGTCATTTATCCCTGCCGTCATCAGCCTCGTAAATATAACTTGTGTCGTGTTTATGTGTTTGTTTGTTGTTGTTGTTGTTTGATATCTGCCTGTTGCTGCCAGCTGTGAAACAATTTGCCCCTCGTGGATAATAAAGTTACCTTGAAGCTTGAATCTCTCCCAGATCTTTCTGACTCTTTGCGAGGTGACGGCAACAAACAGGAAATCCTTCAGTGTCTAAAAGTATTTAAATATGTCAAACTTTAGTCTGTATACAACATGAAATGATCGCCAGACAGACTGTGGGTTTGTGACCTTTCACCTCCTCGGTGCTGACTCAGGAGATAATTATTCTTAGAGCTGTCTGACGGAAAAAAAATAAGTGTGAATTCTCCTCCGGTTAGTGGGGGGGCTCTGTGACGCAGCCTCCGCTGCTTTCTGGGAAGTGGACTCTCCGAGCGTACCGTGGGAGTGGAGGCGTTTAATATCGACCGACCGGAGCTCAACTTTCACCTGGTTTCTCCTGAGTTCAGCTTGCTGCCCCGAGTTTTGTTTGCCAGGTTGGAGGTTTCACGAATGACCAAACAGTGTTGACTAATCCAGAACAGTGAGAGGACTCGAGCAACACGCACATCTGTAACTCCCTTCGGATGTGTGAAACATCTGGCCGGCTGCTCTTTCTACACTGTCTCGCCCTCGGATTTCACAATAAACTCCAGAGGCTGAAACTCTGGAGCCACAAATCTCCTCTGTGACCTTTGACCCCTTGCTTCTCCCATAGAGACGAGTTTAGTAATGAAGCCGAGCGGTGTGACATCGTCATGAGTGCGAGGGAACGCGTCTCTTCCCTTAAATGTGCGTGTGAAGAAGAAACAAAACCATCTTACACCTTTTTAACGTTGACAGAACCTCCAACGTATGAAGGGCTTTTATTTTGAAGAGGTTGCAATGCTGCTTATGGACTTCCTGTCGTGCAGCCACGGGCAAATATAAAAATATAAACTTATTTAAAAAAATAAAATAAAACAAATTACAATATACACGAACAGACCCTTTGCTGTAGGGAGAATTCACGGATTAAATAAACTGAATTATTTATCATCACGATCAGCTGGGAGTAAAAGTTACTCAAATGTATTTTTCTTAATCTGACATCTGAAACTTAAAAGAAAAAAAATACTATTTTAAATAAAAATCTCAATAAAAATAAATAAATACAAACAGGAACACAGTTTGACTGACTACAGACCAGCTGCCAGGACACGGACAGGGAACTCTGGTCCTTGTAGTTCCTGCGTTCGGTTTACATTAGTCATAATTATTGATACTTGAAACACTAATTAACAGTTAATGTAAAGTCCTCAGACGCTCCAGCCTCTGCTTCAGCTCTCTGCTCCTCTTCCTCAGCTCGTCCTTCGTCGCCAGCAGCCGCCGCTCGTCCTCTCTGACCTTCACGATGAACTCGGTCGCCGTTTTCAGGATCACCACCTTCGGCGCTTTGTCGTTGGCGGCCACCGCCGGGACTTGGTCCCTCAGGGCGAGGAAGCTCATCTTCAGCTCGTTCCTGCGCTGCCTCTCCAGCACGTTGTGAGTCCTGCGTTTGTCGTTGCTGTCCTCGCCGTCAGAGCGCGGGCTCCAGGACCTGTGGCCGCCGCTCTGCCTCGGCGCCGCCAGCCAGCTGTTCTCCGACTTCATGCGTTTCCCAGCAGGCTGCTGGACGGGCGATGAGGGCTGCTGGGCGGCGTAGTTGTGCTGATGGATGTTGATGTGAGAGCGTTTCAGGACCAGCGGGGAGGCGTCAGGTCTGCTGCCCGCACCTGACCGCCGTGACACCTTTCGCCTGTCCACCGTCACCACGTCGATCTCTTCATCCTCCTCAGCTTCTTCCTCCACCTCCTCTTCTTCTTCTGGGAAAATACAAGGAAGGGACTATTATCAACACAGGTAGTAAGAGTTTGTATAATTAATCATCTAAGAGACACTTTTTACAACTTGGGTATTTCTGTAGTTCTATTTTTGTAGTTCTTATCGGTCATTCGCTACAAAACCACATCCCTAACTGACATCTGATGACATCACTGCGATATAAAGGTCAGCGCCACAGAAGACACGAGAACCAAACATGATCAGAAAACTGGTGGACTGTTTGGTACAGTGTCATCTTTCAAAATAAAACCAGGCATGTAATAAACCACATGTAACCCCCTTCAAAATAAAAGCCTGCTTCCCACCTGATTCACCGTCACTGCTGCTGAGAGGCGGAGTATCCAGACACGGGTCGGACGCCACCTCCATCGCTGCTCCGTCGCCGCTCTTCTCGCTCAGCGGGGAGTACGGAAACACCACAGAGGGGTCGATGCAGTCCGTCGCCGCCGTGTGGAGGTCCTGCAGGTATCCCGCGTTCACCTGAGAGCTGCCCACCTGCGACTGCGATGGCTGCCCACCTGCGTCTGCGATGGCGTTTGTTAGTGTGCTGGTTGTGGAGGAGTCCCGCCGGGCGCGGAGCGAGGCCAGCCTCTCGGACACCACCTTCTCCAGTTTGGTGGCGGCGGCGAAGCTGCTGCTCCACATGCAGTCCTGGATGATGAAGGATTGGAGGACGGCCGCAGAGGGGTTGCAGGCCTCGTCCAGCAGGTCAGACACCGCCTCCAGGTGTTCGGCGGCGGACAGCGGGACGCCGGACGGGGAGGGCGTCCGGCTGGGGGACAGGGGGGGCGTCGGCAGCAACTCGAACTTCTTCCAGATGTCCTCGCCGGGACCCGGGAGGAGCTGGTTGTGTGGAGGCAGGTAGAAGTCCTCCTCCTCGCCGTCCAGGAAGAAGCAGGGCTGAATCGTGTCATAGTCGTAATCATAGTTTGCGCTGGACATTGTTAACACCGGCGGCATTATGGCGGCCTGGGAAGAGACACAACATGAGGTTAGGATTAGCACGTTCCACCTGGCGGGACTGTGACACACATACATGCATATAATCTATACATATTTAATAAAAACTGGATACAAAAAGTTACCAAAATAAATAAATACATACAGGAGGAGATTTAAGATTTAGCTATTTATGTTTATGGAAAAACATACAAACAAATATGTAAGAAGAACAGAAGTAAACCCAGATGTCTCAACTATTACACAATTATGTTCTTTTTGAATCTCCAGATTTCCCAAACAGCAGCTGCTGTATAACTGCAGATTCAGTTCCACCCTGAAAACACAGCTAAATTAGCATAAAAACACATGATTTACAATTTTGAAATTCAGTCAATACTGAACTCTAAGAGTATTTGCATGCAGGGGGGGGAACACCATACAGCTGCACAGTCCAAGTTCCTGTGTGAATATTTAAGGAAGTTGTCATAGTGGTGAGTAGTGAGCGGTCACAGAGATGGTGATGAAGTCTGTTCAAGCTATTAAAAGTTACTCATAAGAATGAAATTCCTGTCTCATGTTCAAAACTTCTAGATGCACCAAATCCCATTCAATAATGAGGCAGTTTAACATTATTTAGATGGTGACTCACTTTTTAATCAGGAGTTTAATCTTGCTATGCTATGCAAATAACTCCAAACACATTTAAATGGCTATGTTGTATTTTAAAAAACAGAGATCATGTGTATTTCTTTAAATTTTGTGTTTACAGGTAGGATTTAGATGTAGAGATCGACACTTACACATTCACACGAAACTTCATTCAATAAAACCGGTAGTTTATTTTCTTTTGAAGTTAAAGTTGACTCAACTAAAAGACATTCTTCAGCTTCAAGTATAACCTGAATATAATTCAGGTAGGAGTTGCAACCTAAAAGGAAATTGACAGGCGACGTGTTGCAGATGCACCACCAGCCTACAGGTATCACAGATATCAAATTATCTGCTATGCCTCTCTATCACTACAGGGTTTTTGTGACAGTGAATAATAAACTTATAAATGTAGGTGGACATTCTGCAGCAGTAAATTATGATACCATAATCCCACAAAACCCAATCCAAGAAACAGTAAATTTAGGATTATTTTGTCTGGAGTTAAAGGTTAAAACTGCAAAATATGACTCAAATACAAAGATTCATATTCAACAAGGCACAGGGCGCAGTTCGGCGTTTAAAAGCCCAGTAAACTGGACTTTGTGAGACCATGACTCGCTCCAAATAGCGCGAGGTGAGGTGCTCTGCAGATGTTACACTCACAAACACGTAAATCCAACTTAACTCACCGATTTAACCATTTTAAGTAACAGCTATGTAAAAACAGTTTGAGAGGATGGTAAAAAGCAGCTGCGGGGGTAAATTCGGCATATGTTGTTTTGTTTTTTCTCAGACTGACATAGTGATAATTTCTCTCCACCAAGCAGAAAACTGTCCCTTAAAGAACCAGAACCAGAACAAGAACCAGCTGTTATTGTTATTGAATCTCACCCTTATAGCTCGCAGGATAAAATCCAAATGTTCCAGTGAGCGAAGGATAAATCTTCAGAGCGTTTGCAAAATATTTCCTCTCCCAGTCACAGATCGATATCAGTGATCTGTGAGCCTGCGGTCCGTCGCTGCTGTCTCACCGTGACTCACGCCGCCCGGCTGCTCTGCAGACATTTAATACTCCGGCTTTTTTTACACATCCGCAAACGTCATGCTTTTCGCGCCAACATGTGAGCTGCGTAGTACACCTAATCGATGCGTGGGCGTGCTCGTGACAAATCAATAAACACTCGGTGTCGCCGCAACAGATGATCTTGTTTATTTTTTTGTGATCAAACGGAGCAAGAACGCGCGTTTGATGCGGGGACTGTTTTACTCCGCGGATGTGTAGCGGTGGCGCGGTGAGGGTCTTTTAGCTGTAAATGATGCGTCGACAAGAAGTTCCGGGAATTCGGATCTCGGTGATTAAGTCATGACAACAAAGAAAATACTCAAAGAAAAGAACTTTAAAAAAGAAAAGAAAAATGTTAGAGGTGAAAATGTGATTAAGTTATATAACAAAATAAAACGGCTAAATTGGGGAATTAAAATACTCAAAAAAGAAAAGACAGATGTTAAAGGAAAGAATAAAATTAAATACACAAACATAAAAAAAAAAACAACATTTACAATAAAACACAATAACCGGCAATGAGATTAACTTATGTTGTAAATTAATCAGTAAAATATAATTGGAAACAAGAAAATCACAAAAAAGTAAAGGAAAGAAATTATAAAAAAAAAACATTTTCTTTTAGAAAATAACAAAATAAAACGAAAATAAAATGTAAACATAAATTAAAAAAGATTAAAGAAAACATTCAATAACAGGATAAAACGATGCAAAATATTTAAAAAGAACTATTTAAGTAGCCAGTTACACAGATTACATTCACTTCAGGCTGTACCTCTGTTGTGTATTTCCTACATCTGTACCCAAAGTTATCCTCTTTCATCCAGTGTCTTTCATTCACTTATGTTTCTGTTATTCTTCTTTTATTTCCATCATCTGGAGTTAACTTGCAAAGCTTGCAAACAAAACACATAACATGAGGCTGACAGAGGTAAATTTGCTAATTAGATCTTTACCTTTGCTTGATATTCAGAATCAGGGATCATCTGACATCACTTGACTGATAAAATCTCAATGACGAACAAACCTCTTCATACATTTTATACTTTCCAGTCAGTGAATCACTGATTCTTCAGCATTTAAGGTTACAAACACATAACATGAGGCTGACAGAGGTAAATTTGCTAATTAGATCTTTACCTTTGCTTGACATTCAGAATCAGGGATCATCTGACATCACTTGACTGATAAAATCTCAATGACGAACAAACCTCTTCATACATTTTATACTTTCCAGTCAGTGAATCACTGATTCTTCAGCATTTAAGGTTACAAACACATAACACATATTTAGAATACATAAATTGTAACAACATAGATGCATGATGAAAAGAATATTTAAAGGATCAACAAAGCAGATGTGATCAAAAGGAGTTATGTTCATTCAGTAAAATAGAACAACATTAAACATGGTAAACAGCCCAATCTGATACATGATCTATGACTGTTAAAGGTTTGTTTTCATCAGTGATGGTTTGAATACAGCAGAAATATCAGGCTCAGACTTGTAATTAGTATCAGTTAATAAAGACAGTAGGTTGATTAGTTTGATTGGTCCTTGATTACGTCCAGCTGTCAGCTTGACACTGCTGCCCTCTGGTGGCTGCAGCCACTCACTGCTTCAATCCTCAGGTCTTAACTCTTGAGTCTTTTCCCTCAATGTTCTCTTTTCTCTGATTTGTTGTATCTTGTATGCAGTACTGCAGGAAGCAGGATCCTTAAGTAAAAGTACTAATACCACACTGTACAAAATACTACATGTAAAACAAGTAAAAGCCCTGCATTAATTATGTTCCTGCAGTAAAAGTATGTGAGTTTGAAAGTATTAAAGCAGTAAAATGTTGTGCTATAACAGATTCTTCTTCCTCCTCATTAATGTGCAGCAGGATGTTGCTGCTGTAGTTGTTGAGCTGCAGCTCATTCTGAACTGTTTAGTATCAGACTGCAGCTGATGATTCTTTTCATTCTGGATCAACCTGCTGATTATTTCCTCCATCAATACACTGAGTGTTTGGTTTGAAATGATTCTGCCGTCACAGTTATGAGTAATTTGTACTTATGTAAATACTTCAGTAAAAACGTTACTTAGTTACATTCCAGCACTGCAGATAATATTATTTATTATCAGGGGCGTAGGAGCGACTTTGAACCTGGAGGGGACGGTGAAATGCTCGGGGAGTTCGGGGGCATGCCCCCCCGATATTGTCAATTTTTTTTTAAATAAAGCAATTAAATGCTCATTTCTAATGGCTTTTGAAAACAGAATGTACTTATTAGTGTGCCTGAAAGAGGGTCTTTGTAGTGACAGAAGATGGAGAAAAACTTGAAGGGGGAGAGGGTCAGAGAGACGGAGTATAATATAACTAGAACAAAACCGACTACATGCCGTAAAAACCATGCAGCTGCTAGTTAACGTAGCCACAGTACAAATGTTTTTAGTTATTCCAATGTTACACTTGTGAGCTGTCTGTGATATTTCCTGTGTCTCTCTTGGCCCTGACTCTCCCTGCAACAAATGTTTGGGAACACAGAGCTGTCTTCCCTGCAAACTCTGATGACATGCTTTTGGTCAGTCTTTTACTATGTGAGTTGTAGAATTCACTACGTCTAGTAGCTGTCCATCCAACTTACAAGCTCGTCCTCCTCAGTTTGTTCAACTCCTGCTCCTGTGACCTCTGTCCTCTTCCTCTTAAAATACTGTAGGATGCTCGTCTTTGTGCTCGTCTTTGTGTGAACATTTACTACTTTTCAATTGTTTATGGACACGTAGCAGACACACACACCTCAGGACAAGTTTTTAAAAAAGTGGCCCAGGAGTTTGTCCCTGGTCAGTCCAAACATTTGTCGGAGCCTCTGGGTCTTTAGAGACTTTTATTCCTGCATTCTTGAGAATTTTATGTAAGTAGAGTACATCACTAAATGAGCCTTTAAAATACATTTTCAAAACTAGAAATCCCTCTCTAACTCTCCTAAAGTAAAGTAATCACTTCAGCTGAGCCCTTGAGTAGATAGACCTAAACAAGTCATATCATCATCAGTCACACCATAAACTGCTGCTTTGGACTGTGCTGGCTCTGACTCTGTTCTGCTCTTGCCCTCATCTCTGCTGTCACATGTTCACCATGTCAGCACTAGTACTGGTGCCGCTGGCCAGTGGTGGGTAAAGTACTCAAAATCTTTACTCAAGAAAAAATTACTCCCATAAAAAGTTACAAACCTACTTATGTATAAATATAATAATATATTTCATCTGCTGTTCATCAGGTTCGAAACAACTGCAACATGGTTATTTCTAGGGAATGCAATTTGCTTTGCTGGTTGATTATCTATAGCTATTTCTGTTTAAAACAATTAATTTCTTTTTTTAAATCTCCATGAATGTGTTGATAAGATCACTTTAAAATATCACACTTGCTGCCCAGCCACTATTGTTACCTGCATCTTTTATTATGGACATGTAGCCGACCAAAACACTTGCTTTGCAGCAGCACAGGCAGCCGAAACAATCTGATTAATCCTAAAGCATCTAAATAATCTTCACAACGCAAAGAATCATTGTGGCAGCAACAGGGAGCAGCTCCTTGTTGAAGCAGGTAAACCTGCATACAGAGGAAGCTGTGCGTCATGCGTAAAACCTAACAGGACTGTTTTATCCACCATAATTATATATAAAATATTATATCAGGATCAATCCAATGATCATATAACTTATGTTACAGTGTGAAGTCTACGTTTTCTCTGCAGAGACGAAATACGCTTTAAATGCGCCGTTAATGGAAAGTGAAAGTATTTATTTGCCGGCTTGTTAAAGAGCGACGCAGGCTGCTTTCCAACACGGCCAGCAGTGCCATGGTGTGCGCTCACAGGATTTCAGTTGTGTAAGTAGAACAATAAAGCCTTAAACTGAGAAAGGTGTTTGCCTGATTTTCTAAATGTTTGCGCCCAGCTCTGTGACTGTGACAAGCGCCCGAGACCAGGCGCTCTTCTGCGTAACTACGCGCACACAGACTGGATCATTTCGGCTAATGAAGCAAAATGCAGATTACAGACTGGTTAAGTTATGAAGGTATGAATGGAAACTGTAGAGAAATTAAGAGTAGATGACTGGCCTAAAGAAAATACTGGAGTAAAGAGTAAAAGTACATTTTTGAAAAAGGTGTGAAAAAAACGTGAAAAGGTGCCAATTACTTTTTTTTAAATGTATTTATTTAGCAAATGTGCGTTATTTGTAAGTTACTACCCACCCTGCAGCAGGAGTCCTCAAGTAACAGCAGCACAAAAGAAACGTAATATTGATGCACTTTGCTGCAACCTTTTTTCTTCTCCCTTAACTTTTCAGCACCACCTTTGCCTTGTGTCACATGTTTTCTATGGGCCAACATGATTTTTGTCTGCGTTTCAACCGTTTAATCATGTCTGATGGGGTGTGTGATTGATTGATTGATCGATTGATCGACTAGTCATTCAAACCGTCTCTGCTATGAGCCAACTCCGAAATCGCCGGAAAAAAGTGAGGGGGACAAAACAGAGATTTTGAAAAGTGTGTGTGTGTGTGGGGGGGACATTTCCCCTCATGTATAATGGCTCCTACGTATGTTTATTAGATTATAATGTAAATCACTCTGGATTTACCTTTAGTGTTTTGCTGCTGCCCTCTAGTGGCTGCACTGACACACTGCTGCACATCAGCAGCTGCAGGAAGTACATCCTCTGCTGGGCTCTCTTCCTGAGAGAGGGAGGAGCTCCTGGGTGCTTCTCACGTCTCTTATTAATTGCACGTTTCCCTCGCTTGCGTCTTTGTCCCGCCCACCGGGGATTCATGGAGAGACACAAGGGGTGCTTCTCTAGTCTCTTATTTGACCTTTATGCTCTTTTTGTGAGTCAGAGACAGAGATTTATTTTACGAGTGAACTTTTTCATGTGACTTTTGGTCACAAATCGTATTATTAATATGGGAACCTCATAATATCTCGGTCCCTTTATCTGAAAGCATGGTCTTATTTTTAAATG